GGTCCTAAACAGCCCGGAAATGATATAGACGTCTACTTAGAGCCTTTGATTGATGATTTAAAATCTCTGTGGGATGGGATTACAGGAGTGTATGATGCCCACATAGGATAATACTTTACACTCAGAGGTGTATTACTGTGGAAAATTAATGATTTTCCTGTCTATGGGAACCTATCTGGTTGTCTCGTTAAATGATATAAAGCTTGTCCAATATGCAGCGATGAGCTAGTCACAGACAGGTTGAAAAATGGCCACAAAATTTGTTACATTGGGCATAGAAAGTGGTTACCAATCAATCATCCATATAGGAGGCAACGTGCAGCTTTTAATGGGAAACCTGAATATGGCATGCCTCCCGAGCCATTAACAGGAGAAGAAGTGCTGCATATGGTTGAAGATATTAATTACATATTGGGCTTGAAAAATGGGGGAAGTGTTGGTGAGAATGATGGTGACAGTGTTTGTTGGAAGAAGAAATCAAAATTCTTTGATCTCGAGTATTGGAAATACCTCCCTGTGAGGCATGCCCTAAATGTTATGCATATTGAGAAGAATGTTTGCGATAGTATCATTGGTACATTACTAGAGATCCCTGGAACCGGAGTATGGAGAAAGACGTACTCGCTTGCCTCCAGGGCCTTGGAATTTATCAAGAGCAGAGAAGAGAGCGGTTTGCAATTCTTTTTATGGTATGAAGGTTCCTGAAGGTTATTCTTCAAATATAAAAAATCTTGTATCTTTAAAAGATTCAAGACTTCTTGGCCTTAAATCTCATGATTGTCATACCTTGATGCAACGATTGCTCCCTGTGGCAATTCGTTCTGTTTTGGAGAAGCCTGCAAGGTATGCAATAACTCGATTGTGCTTCTTCTTCAATGCTATATGTGCAAAGACGGTAGATGTTTGGGAAGTTGGTCGTGACTCGTGAGCTCCCAAAAACAAAACCGTGAGGGCCAGAGAAGGGGGGCCCAAAGCGGACAATATCGTGCTACGGCGGAGCCGATCCAGGATGTGACAAAAGGAGAGTTTTTAGTTTTTGTTTCAAAGGGTATATGAGAGTTTGGGAAATGGTAGAGGTTTGTAGTATAAATGGTTCTTGTGCCATTAATTTCACAGTAAATGGGCAATAGGCTGACTCATTACATTAGCATGGCCATTGACAAAAAATTTTATATGAACCTAAAAAATGTGCCTAAATTGATCCTAAAACATAATAGATGGGTTGTTCCTAAATTGGATTTTTGATTTTATATCTAATTTTGGTACTAATGTATAAGCAGTAGAGTAGATGGTACGTACATTCATAAATGAACATCTTCCATATGCTTTTGTGAAACTTGGCTTCGAAGGCAGATGGCATATGGGCTAGCAATTGAAGACTTGTGAGTCCGTTGTTTTCCTTTTTCTTCGCAAGATCTGGGTACTTTTTTAGTAACCAAAAAGCAGTCTCTGCATTGAAGGAAAACCATGTTAATAATATATAAGATAAAGTCAAATATAAAAAAATATTTGACTAATGTTTATTTGGCAACGTTATATATTCAAACCACATGTTCAGACAAGAATTAATCTCAATTAATTCACAGCTAGCGTAATTAGTACCTTATCTTACCATGTGATAACTAAAATATATAAGTAAAGTGCAAACTAATAATGCAAGATGCAAGAGTTTGTCAAATTTGAGAGAGAGAGAGAGAGAGAGAGAGAGAGAGAGAGAGACCAAAATGTTGGCCAATGATTGCGATATGAAGAATGGATATTTCATCTTTCTCTCTTTTGAAGTGCGACTCTACATCCTGCTGCACTTGGCCAGCCAAATATTTAACCAACTTTGTGCTACCTAAAGCAGCAGCTTTGTAGAGTGGGGTCTCTCCTAAACGGTTCCGAATCCCTAGAACATCTTCATAGCTAGGATCGATACTCTTAAATTTGATAGCCGCGTCCATCAAGTGCTTTGCTGCCTCCAGATTTCCAGACACAGCCACCTCATGAAGAGGTGTGTTGCCATGGTTGTTCTCCATCTTCAACGCATGGCCTGACATCCAGAATATGCGCTCATCTATCAGTGAAATCAAAGAGTGAAGCACGTTGTTGTGCCCGGCGGAGGCTACGACGTGAAGTGCAGTGTCGTTGTTCGTTGTCAATTGGCCAACTACTTCCATCGGTTTATCCTTGTAGAATTGTTCTAGCCATTTCCACTTGCCGTACATGGCACATTGATATGGCGTTTTCGCGCCACTCAGTGCCATTCCCTTTCTTTCAACCTCAGCCTCTATCTCCTCCATCTGTAGCTTTATTATTTTTCGACTCAATTCACTGCTTTCTCTTTTTTATAACCGCGTACTCTCCCAGTACTCTATATATAGCGAGCAATATTTGATACATCAGTCAATCCCAATATCACCTTCCTTATCTTTTTTTTTCTTCTTTAGCATCACATACCTTGCTTAATCAAGTAACAAAGTAAAACGTTCCACCAGTCAACAGTTACAAAATTTAAAAAAGAAAAAGTAATAAAGCAAAAGTAGAAACAAGTTAAAAGAAGCGTCTAAATTAAGGATCCGGATCCTCTGCTTAGATTTTCTCTGCCATGATCTGCTTTACTTTCACTGTAATGCTGCCACGTCATTAAAATTTAATCTAAGGGATTTAAAAGTTGACACATCATCCTAAAACAAAAACCCAATTTACTCCTAATTCAAAAAGGAAAAAAAAACCCTAACACCCAACTAACGGGATATTTAACGTCCAAAGCTGTTTTTTTTTTCTTCTTCTTCTTCGTGTTTTGTCCTCTTCTCTTTTTTTTTTCCTTCTTCTTCGTGTTCTATCCTCTTTTCTTCTTATTCTTCGTGTTCTGTCCTCTTTTCTTCTTCTTCTTTGTGTTCTGTCTTGTTGAAAGACAAATCAACCAAACAACGAGCATACACTTATTAATGATCTGATTTCTCAAACTTTTGGACAACAACCAGTTCCACGTTTAATTGAATTTGACATAATTCTTGGTCTTCTCCATCTCTCATTAGCTTTCAGGACATATATAAGCTCTTTTTTTTCTGCAAAAATGTGTTATTAGATTGATCTCTATTGACGAAGACAATCTAATTAATTTAATCCCTGAAAATAGAAGGCCAATTGTTATTTCCAATCAAGAGATCATAAGCAGAAAGAATGATAACCATGAGCACAAATACCAAATGCCTAAGGCTGCCGTTCCTACCGTAATTAACAATTGTGGATTCTTAAAGAGCTGCTTCATAGAGGAATCGTTTTTTTTTTTTTATCATCATTTTCCTAATAAATTCCAATAATTCATTATATATCCATCTTTGGCGTCATTTGCCAAAAGTTTCTTCACCTCAACTCAACCCTTGGATGGCAAAAGGATGAACAGACGGGGAGAGAACATTGTTTATTGCCCTTACTTTGGCAAAAATATATAAAATATATGTTATTAATTTCTAAAATACCCGTGCTATATTATATTCTCTACCTTTGGATTGTTTTTTAATGATGTGGCAGCATTACAGTGAAAGTAAAGCAGATCATGGCAGAGAGAATCAAAGCAGAGGATCCGGATCCCTAAATTAAACTTGTTACCAATTAATGAATCACGTTTTGGTACGACTTAGGTATAAGTATACGGTAGATAGAGGCGTAGGGACCTTAATATTGTTTTTTTTTTTTGGTTTGGTCTACTTCAAATTCTTTAGATAAGAAAATTATGGTAAGAAGCCCAATAAAAAAGGATCACAAGCACAATCCTTTTGCAAAGAGCCCATCCACACATAATATACAAGATCCAACAAAAAAGAAAAGAACAACAAAAGCCCAAACAAATAAAAGCCCAACAAAAGCAACAAGAGAGCCCTATCAAACAACAAAACAAAGACCAAGAAACCCTAGCTGCCACAAGGAAGGAGATGCACCCAACCGCACCAGAATCGGATAAACCCAACAACCCCACCATCAAGACAACACCAAGAACAAAGAATAGAGAAACTCGAAGGGCATGTTTGGCATGCATCACTATGCCTCACTGGATTGGACTGTGTTAAATAGTCCTTGAAACCTATGTTTGGTAAGGGACGGGATTAGTTCAATGAAAGCAAGCAATGTCACGCAGGACACTCACACTCCACTTCTCACTTACAACTATGGTAGTCGCCTCAGGTCTACAAACTCTGAGAGAACTTTGAAAACTGAAAGAAACTTACAATGCTTACTAAACAAAGCTTGCCGAAAACTGAAATGAAAACTTCAAACTTATAGCCTTGGCTTACAAGAGAAGACAAAATAACTTTTGAACTAACTTTGACTTTAACTTAAGTGAAAAATATTTAACTTAAACTTTGTCGGGGCATCTTTGAATTGAAAGGCATTCTCTGAAAAGGCTACTTTGAATTGAAGGGCATGGGCATCTTTGAATTGAAAGGCATGGGCATCTTTGAAAATCTTTAACTTGTCAGGGCATCTTTGAATTGAAGGGCATATCTTTGCTTTAACTCTGGAGAAACAGAAAGGATCTACTTTCACATGGGTGAAAGGACTTTAACTCTGCTTTCGGCTACTTTAACTTTGGTAGAGGCATCTTTGACTTGGAAGGCTTCAATCTTCAGAGAGATCATATGGATCTTGACTGTCAGGCACATAATCGGACCATCTAGGCTTAGGCTTCTGACTAAATTGTTGACTGGGCATCTGGCTTGAAGAAGATTCAGACTTTGGACTGGCATTGTCTTCATCTTCATCCTTCATTTGAGAAACTTGAGCAAGGAGTTGCTCTGCTAATTCTGTTAATTCTTTCTTAGATTTCCCTTTGAGGGAGGCATTTGAACTGCTTGGAGAGGCTTCTTTGGCTTGAGCGACTGGCATCTGGATAGGTGGATAACTTGCATGGACT